ATAATTAATATACTATAATAGTATTATCTAGAATCGCTAGATATCTAGAATAATTAAGTCTATAAATAAATACTATAACTATAATAGTTAGTTATTCCGGAGGTAGTAATACCTTATTATTAATATACTATCTCTTAATTAGTAATATAATATAACTCTATAACGATTAAAAGGCCTAGATTATAGCTTAGAGTTAATTATAGGAATAAAGATACGAAATGCTAACGATCTATAGTAGCGGCGTTATTCCGGAACCCAGTTTGACGCCCTGCATTGCCTAGGAATTGGCACGCTAATTTTGTTTAACAATCAAGAATAGCTCCGTTCTCATCGCAGTTAGCGCCGGGCCAAGTCGTCGCACTGCGATTCCCACTTTTGCATATGGCGTAAAATCGTTCCAGCCGGCCAGTCGCGTAGGCCGAGAAACCCATCACGGCACGGGAAAAATTTCCAGGGTTGATGATGCTGCATTACTGATGGATTCCTCCGCTTCGTTTGCTTCATCAAATAGATCTCTGAAGTTTGGTATAATGTACATGGAGAACAGATCGCGATCCTACGCTCTACAAGCCGCTTCAAAGGACGAGACGCCGAGATGGTGAAAGATCGAAATGCAGATGCTTTGCTGAGCAAGTTCCAGAAATTACAGCACAAAGTCTGCCGTCATGTCGTAACTCCATGTGATGACTGTCCTACCGGTTTGAGCATGTATTCTGCTAGTCATTCGTCGTCGTCCGCCAAGAATGTCGCTTGAAAAAGAATTGACCGCGCCGCTCTTGATGCTATCGAGGAAATTGCATACCTCCTGGCATAATCGTTCCAGGCTGTGGAGGCTGCTGAGGCCGGTGAAACATTTGCACCAACCTCTTGCCCACGCTGGGCTCCAGTTCGGTGCCATCTCGTGCAATTTTGACTTCTCTGTTGGCGTTCCATGGATTTCGCAGACCCCGCGTCCGGTAAAATGGCAATTTGCTGGTCGATAGCCATTCGATTTTGAACTGCTTTCCCCAGTGGTCCGACGCACTCGCATCTTTGGTATCGGCGCCGTTCTCGATCTCGCCGTGGTCTGCCTCCCAGAAGATGGTTCCCCGAGCAGAGTCGTCGATGATCCGGCCTTTGGGTGCTGTTGCTGTCGCGGGAGTATGAATGGATTGCGGGGACCCGTCAGAGTCGCTGGTATGAGTAGCGTCCTCTTGCGTAGAAGACGAGGAGAGATTTACTGGCTCGCCCTCGATCGCGGACTCCATGCGAGCGTAGCCGAAGTACTCTCCAGATTTGTTGGCAGAGAATATCAAGTAGACGTTGTCCGCCTGTCCAAAAGCTCGATTCAGTGTTTTTTCATTGTGAGATTGAGTTGCCCAGACCCCATTCCTAACACTAGCCTCCAGATCTTGAGACGTCAGACTCTTCACGATGTAGTACTTCTCCGGCACTTTCTCATCTGACTGAGGCGGGCCCTCCGCCTCGTTCGTTACGTCTGGAGATGGTGAACTCTGCTCGGAATGGCTACGAGCTATTGTCGGTCCTGCAGAATCACCATCCACTGCTGCACCAGCAACAGGCGGTGTCTGAGCCGCGGACTGCGATTCGGACTGTGTGTCGGTCGGGGTCGCCGCAGTGGATGCAGTGCCTCGACGCAGCCGGCAAACCAACCGCACGCCGTGGAAACGGGAATCGTGAAAGCGGTTCATCGCAGCAACGCACGCTGCTTCGGTGCGATAGTTGACGAACGCACAGTTGCTCTTCGCTATCAAAAATACGCTCTCAATGTCGTCCGTTGCATCACGCGAGAAATGGTCCTTCAAATCGACAACGGCGGCGGCAGGGGGCAGATTGCCCACCCATAGTGCATGGCCAGATTGCTTCGGCTTTCGGGGTGGTCCTCGAGGATAATTTGGAACTGGCGCAGTATCGATTGGTCGAGGGTTGAATTGTGCTGTGTCGTGGTCAGTAGCGATCACACGCGAATGCCAGGATTTTCATATACTCATATCCGCATGCATGGCTCCCATTGGAAAAGAGTTCTGGGTCACGAAGCGCGGATCGATCGGCGAGTATTGCGATGGAGCCATGCCATATCCGTAGGGATCAATCGGAGAGTACGCCAACTGTCCTTGCATGGCGAGCTGCTGAGGCCGCTGCATGGGACCTGGAGCACCATAGTGGGCATTGAGGTACTGCTGCTGTTGCTGCGCTCTGGCCAACAGGGCTGGGTCGAAGGTGTGACCGCGCGGCTGTGTGAACATGGCTTGCTGGGAAGCATAAGGACTCGAGGTAGATACGTTGTGGGAAGCATCGGGGCCGCCATATGGACGCTGCATCACGCCGGGCTGCAAGTTCTGCGGCAGTGATGCAGCCAATGCGCCCATGTCAAACGATTGCTGACCATACGGAGTCATGCTGGGAGATCCGGAAGCCATGGATGACTGGGTTTGATTTTGAGAGAGATATTCGAATTGAGAATGGAAAGGTGCGCTGCCATTACGAGTCAACTTCATGTACTTGAGCCCGAGGGTAGCGGGCCACGGCTAACCTGCTCTGCTGATGCATCGACGGGTGCGATGTACTCTGTTGGTTCGGTAGCCGGTCTCCTTCCTGCGATGTGTTGTGAGGATGCATGTCTCCCATGGTTGTGGTCCGGCCGTCAAGAAAGACGGGTCACGAAGAAGAGACCGCCAAACAGGAAGGAAGTCACCAACGTTTAGTAAAGAAGGCTCGACGGGGCAAGCTGTGGTGTGACGGACCAATGACGAGTCGAGGAAGAAGAAGTAGAGGGTGCAAGTGCGAGCAGGAGGCTGCATTGCGGTTTAGGCTGACCTGCGATCTAGAACCTTAAAGAGGGATTTGACGGTCGTGCCCTTTGGTCGACGGAACGCAGCCCAGCCCAGCGGCCGGCTCGCCATGCGCCACCAAAGCAGAGGCTTCTGCAGGCGATGCACCACCGAGACGATGCTTGTCCGCGAGAAGTTGGCACGCTCGGCCAGAAAGCGGCGCAGGGGCAAACCTTCGCATGTGGACGTCGCTGGCGCAGGCGTGGCCGCTGGCGGCGCAGGCTGGCATCGTTGTCGGGCTG